AAATGGCATTAGCCATGTTTAACTTAGTGTGAGGCTGGGGTCTTTCAAGACTATTCACATTAACCAGGGTTATCATCTCTTTTTTACAGTACTGCAGAAGGAACTCAGGACCTCTTTCATGCCAGGCATGGACTTTACTGCTGAGGGCCACAAATAGTGATACATAAATGCATCAGATTAAATCGTTGGGTGCCTTAGTCAATCTAAATTGACAAAATAATCCACTGCAATCACAGCCTCTCAGTGGGAGAGGTAACAGGTTGGCACTACGAGGAAATGGGGAACAAATGGCCACTTCTTATAACACTACACATCTTAACAGGCTTTCACTTTTTCCATGGCCTGGAATGGTTGATGGTATTCCAACTGTTTTGTCATGTAGTGTGTGGGGAGGGAGGCAGTTAAAAGGAGAAGGAAGGAAGAAAGGAAGGAAGGAAGGAAGGAAGGAAGGAAGGAAGGAAGGAAGGAGGGAAGGAAGGAAGGGAAGAGAAGACCAAAAAAGGGGAAGAATAAAAAAATCAGTGAGTCACGTCCATTCTTAGTCCCCAATGCTATTCGCCTTCTCATTTTGTACAAAGGGGGAAAAAAAATCTTTTTTGTTCTTCCACCTTCCAGAACAGTTCACTAGGTCCTTCGCAACCCAAACTAGGAATTTAGCTAAGCCTTAAGCCGGTGTTGTCCTCAGCATGCTTTCTTTCAAGTGGTTTTTTTGGAGTTTTGTTTTGTTTTGAGCCAGGGTCTCACTATGCAGCTTTGCCTGTTCAGGAATCACCATATAGACCAGGGTGGCCTCAGACTAACAGAGATCTGCTGTTCTCTGCCTCCTGTGTGCTAGGATTAAAGGAGTGTGCCACTATAGAGGCTTGCCTTTTCTGTTTTTGTTTTTAAGTGAAGTTTTGCTTTATATGTAGTCCAGGCTGCTTTCGAAACTGATCTTCTCAGGGCTACAGAAGTCTTCTTACCCCTAATTTTATTTATTGGTTGGTTGGTTGGTTTATATATACCTGTGGTTTTTCAAGACAGGGTTTATTTGTGTCCTGAAACTTGCTCTACAGACTGTTGTAACCTGCTTCAACTCTACAGCCCCTCTGTTGAGACCTACTTTAGTTCTTAGTATAAATTTAGCATCTCTGTTAGTACCTGCTGTCACTTTTAGCATATCGAAGCCATTTTGCCTCCAATTCTCCATTTTAATCATAAGGTGAAATTAATTTCAAGTTCTCAGATCCTACAAACCTGAGGCCAGGATACAATTTGGTAGTTCAATACTTGCTGCTTAGAATACAACATTAGATGATAAATGCATAGTCAGCTTGAGTTAAAGATGAATGTGTGTTCTGTTAGAGTTAAGACCACAACATCCTGCTATGTTCCTTACTCCCAGAAAGCTGGAAAGCCCCCAAGGGCTTCCCTACCCTAAATCCCAGACAATCAGCTTAAAGTCCTTTGTCTAGCTACCTAGATAGAATACAATATACTTAAAACAAAATCAATTATATTTAGCTAGTGAAAATTATGTAATGCTACCCCCCTGCCTTCCTACACCTGGTTACCTGGTTGTTACCTGGTTACGGTTTTTCATATTAAAAAACCTGCCTTAGAAACAGACCAGCATTATAGTCTGGCTTGCAAGTCCAGATTGTGTCTCTGACTGGTCAGTTTTTGTTCAGCATTCAACAAACTTCCATCAGTCTGGTGTCTGAGTGGTCAGTGTGCAGCTATTCCTGAACCCATAAACAAGGTCAGACTGGCCTGGAACTCACAGAGATTTACGTACCTTTGCCTCCCAAGTGACCCCACCAACCCCACCAGTGTGGGGTTTTGTTTGTTTTGTTTTGTTTTTTGTTTCTGTTTTACTCCTAAATATTTAAAGGGTACCTGAAATGTGTTCCTTTTACTAGGGCCGCCATGTCTAATTACTTCACTGTGTGGGTTAGGCAGGTGACTGCACCTCTGTTTCCTCTTTCCTCCTGCTGCCTTTCACTATCTGCTTTGGTTTAGGGATCATCTCACTGAACCTGGCTCTTCTCTGTCAGGTGGATATGTCCCAGTGAGGGAAAGAGGAGAATATAGGGACCATGCTCCCCAAGATGCTGAGACCTCCATGGCCTTCTAAGACCAGAAGGTGGACTATCTGGGCTGGAAGACATGAGGAAGAGGAAAAGAAACATTAGCTACTTCCATGGTTTCCTGTAGTCAGGCTCACAAGTAAGGACGAGCACTGTGTTAGATGACACTAGACAGAGTGAGAGAACTGAAATAGAGATTCCTCCTGCAATGGATAGAATGCTAAGGGAGGCCAGGTGTAATGGTGCAGGCCTGTAGTCTTAGTACTAGAGAGTGTCAAGAGAGAGGATCCTGAGTTTGAGGACAGCTATGGTAAGACCCTAAAAACCAAACAATCCCTGTGTGTGTGCAGTGTGCAAGCATTCCTGTGTGTGTGTGTGTGTGTGTGTGTGTGTGTGTGTGTGTGTCTTTGTGTGATCACATATGTGTGGACATATACATGGGTGCATGTTACAGGATGTAGAAGCCTGGATTTGATGACAGGTGTCTTCCTTCACTGCCTTCCACCTTGCATGATGAAGTAGGATCTCAAGTGAATCTAGAGCTAACAGATTTCTGGTGGTCTTGCTATCTTGCAGTGGAAATCCTTTGTCTCTGTCTTTCAGACAAAGCATAAGGAGAGGCAGGATTAGAAGCAGGAGAAAGAAACAGGAGAGGAAGAAGGTTGCTACTTCAGCCTGGCGTTATGTAGGTGTTGGAGACCACACTTCATTCCTAAATTTATACAGCAAGGGCCTTATGTAGTGAGAATTCTGGAATTTTGGTTTCTTTAAAAATATTATAATAAATATAAGAATTTTTATGTTAATCCCAGGTGTGGGGCTGTCTGAGCCAGATGACTATGATTTGCCTTGTGCTCTAGCAGAGGCATGGTTTTTCCAGCTGCAGATAGTTTCTGCAATTGTATGACATTTGGAATTGTGGAAACTTTTCAGAGGGTAAATAAAGGCCCTGAGATGCAGGGTGGGTGGTTGTCCAGGGGCTGGCTGCAGTTTGTTCGTAGTCATGCTCAAAGAAGAAACAAGAAAAACAAAGTCAGATTCAGAGACCTCTCTTTCTCTCTCTCTCACCTCTCTTTCTTTCTCTCCAATCTAGTGATGGGGTGAAACGGGGGAGGGGGGTAAAGGCTGGAAAAAAAGAACCTACAATGTAGAAAAGAGCAGCTACAGCCTTACCAACTGAACTACTCTCCAGCTC